AATCAAAACAGGATTTCTGGGAGTAATTACTCAGCCCTAAGCCTGATGAAGAGGCAACCCCCATTTCCATTCTTTTTTTTTGGTGGGGGAGGGGGTCGGGAATGGGGATAGGGATTTAAGTCCCTATATGATAAAAAAAACAATAGGTGAAGTTTGACAAAATCTCAGAAAAGGTTCTTTTTATTGGAATAACCTTAAGAATCCTGAAGTACAAATGTAAAAGAATAAAGAAAGACTGTAGTTCAGTAGTTTTACTGAATATAATTGTTCATGGTAATGAACATCATTACATGTTAGTGAATGATGATAGAGAAGTCTTCTCTCTAATTACATTTTTTCCTTCTGAAGTAGCAATCAACTATTGATCAACTGTAATAAGATCTTCCCAAAACAGAGATCATTTGCTTTTCCAAATACTATTGCATCCTTAGGTATTAGGCTCTTCAAATGAGGTATATGTGCGAATTTCGTGACCTAATTTTTCTACAACAGCTTATTGAATTTTGTCAACGTTACAGTTATCACCTTTGAGAGATGTAGAAGTCCATGTGAATAGCCCCTTTGATTACTGCCTATTTTTTCATTCACTAAAAACCACCTGCTAAAAACCAAAGAAATTATTAAATAACAGTGATAAGTACACTACAATTAACTTATATGTTTTTAACGTCTCACCAGAACACCTAATTGACCTATCTTCCATTTATTAAGTAACTTTGATCATTTGTAGGCACGAACAAAATGTTGTCCATGATGACGGTCACTTGAAAATTGTTTCTTTATTGTGAAATGAAAAGAGGCTTACACTTCTGTAATGTTATTTAATTAAAAGACAAATTTTCTTACCCATTTTCATGCCAACATGTAAGGTTCTCTGCATTTGTTAATGCAAAAAGAAACATCCAATCAAAAAAACTGCTCGAGGTCAATGTGTAGACCTTATACACCACACAACAATTAACTTATCAATTGTGAAACAGATTTCTAGCCACAAATGACCAAACATCCCTTTTGCGGAACACACTTCCTGCTGATGTTTTATTATCTAAGACTTAAGAAGAATTTAAGACTAAGTTACATCACTTAAGTTTTGAGTGAAACACCTGGCATCCATGAAAAGTCGTTCTTTTGTTTTTATTTATTTCCATTTGATTAGGTAACTAAACTAGATTAAGAACTCTTTTAGTATTTTACTTAATTCATCGGTAATCGTTTTAATTACTGTAAACTGAGTGGATATAACGTGGTTGAATAAAGTTACTAAGAAAATAAACCAAAGAAAACAAGTGAACTATTCTTGACAGTAGCATTCGTTATTTAGATCTACGTACGGTTCATCATTCATTTTCTGTTCCTCATCAGACTCAATTCTAAAGTTTGGATTTTTGGTTTGCTCACAGTAAAGCAAGTTATCCACAAAAGGTAAACCACAATTCTGCTGTCGTGCAAATTTACGTACTATTTGAATTATTTTATAAGTTGATGATATCACATCTTTCACATTATCATTTCCCGCTTATCTTTTTGTCTGTCTGAGCAAATGCAACAAACGAGGAAGATTAATGCACCATAATTGTGCAATAACACAATAACATTGAGGTTTTTTGTAAACTAAAAAAAACCTTAATCTATCCCCATCAACAGCCAAGCTGTATCAGAGAAAAGCTGCCATTTTGCTTATGTATGTGCACCGATCCCAAGTTGTGCTGGCTAATCACACACAAAATTCAGGTTTTTCAGGGACCTTTCTTTTACAAAAGACGACAGAAAATCTGAGGGGCTTTCCAATATTGGGGGAAAACAATGGCAGGTCGCCAAATTAGTTTTTGAGGTGTTGTGCAAAAGATAAGTTACCATGGCAACAGATAAGCGTCAGAAACGCCCTTCACAAATTACCAGACGTGGAAAAGAGATACACACTGCTGTGTATGTAAAAATAATAATTTCTGTACTCAAATTACAAATTGCCATGATCACTTTTAAACAAAACTACTTTAATTTTTATACTGTCATGTAAACGTATTGGAAAAAATATGAAAAATATGTTCAGAGGTTTTAATTTAAGACTGGTAGTCAACATACTAGTAAGAATAGGCCATCTTAGAGTTCTGTGAAATGTAGCCATACCTCTGTATAAAAGCAAACTTTGGGGTGACCTCGACATCACAGACACAAAAACTAGTGTGCATAAGAACTAAAGGATTTGCATAACGAAAGCAACAGGGTTTATAAGGAAACAAGGTGATTACGAGCCTCACTTCCACTAAAAGACTTAGTATCTAAGCACACAATATGTAAAATAGCCATTCACTACAGCGAGTTCTGCAAAATACTCAAAGCATGAGTTCTAAGATACAGTACAATTTCTCTTTACTGAGACCTAGGGGACAAAGTACAATTGGGGTATTTCTTAGTGGAAATTTTCATTTAAAAAATCTCTGCATTTATATTTGGATTAAATTATTTGGTGCATACAAGAACATCATATAGTAAATTCTATTATTAGGTTATCAGGAACTTTACATCAGAGCACACACACCATTATTTAATGTAATGTTGGTTAAAAAATTTTGTTGATTAAAAAACGCGACATTAAGGAACAAAGACCATAAGTTCAAACTTATGCTTAAAGATAGGCTTAGAAATAGCCTGTACTTACACATCGGTTCCGCTTGCACCCTAAATAGCTAAGGATGACTTAAACCGGTAAAAACAAGTATGCTAACTCTATAAGACTGAAACTGGAACTAATAGAAGGAACCGCTAACACTATCTATTTACGTCCACGTGTTAAGGCTTGTGACCTAATTGCTGAGTAAACGAAATTGACGAATTGGCCAGGAGTATTATGGATGATCATGAAAGATAGAGAAGCCTCGATCTGACGTTAATTGCACCTTTTAAACTTAATTTCAAATTATCTTTTAGCTTCTTTTCGTTCCATGTGAAAAAATTGATAAACAAAATTAATTATAATCTTCCAGTAATGCTTGTAAATATGTAAACAATCAATTAGCGTGGAGATTGGAATAATGCTAATTAAGCTTTAGTAGAAGCCAGGCTGCATTCCACGCCAGTTTCACCAGGGATCTTAAGCATGGATCTTTGACCTTTGCAATATTAATATTTGGTGAATCACCTCATGTTGTGAGGTTGCCCCGCGGAAATTCAGTGTTTTTAAAAAAAATATTAGCCCATGGAGCGAAGCTTCGAGGACTAGTATGTTAGTTTTCATATGCTAATTTTATGCTAGTTTTGCCAAGGGGAAACTATCAGATCAATAGTTCCCAGACGAAAAAACTATCTTTTAGTTTTCACCACCAAGTTTTCTTCCTCTTGCCCATTCAAAATGAGCATCTAGAATTTTATTTAATTTTTTTTAGGGTAAAAGCCCAAATCTGAAATGTAACAAAAGAAACCTTAGATGGGTACTTTGAACTGATAGTGCCTCTCCGCGGATAAGCACTATCGTGTCACGTGGTTAATTTGAACCAATTGAAATCGGAGAAAATTTGATGGTGAACTATAGTGAGAAAAAATACAATAGTGTCTAAAATGGTATCCTTAAAAATGATCATATTTAGCGGTAGTGCATTTCTTCATTCCCAGTCAGAAATCTGAGTGCACTTGTACAGCTGCTTAAGCTGACCTTTCTGTTTTAGTTTCATTAAATGGTAGGTTAGTTATAGGGAACGGCTCTTTAAAAAAAGCTCTGACACTACTCTTTTTTTCGTTCGACAAATTAAAACGAGTGAAATTTCTGAGGAAAAAGATTTATCCCGAGACTTCATCCCGAGACAGATCTCAGTGAAGGATTTTTTCCCAGTAAGTCGGTAGCTTGGTTTCCTTTGAATCAAATCCAGTCCAAGAGGGCAAATATATATGCTCACTTCTCTATTCGTCTGAATCATAATTGATGGTACTCTACTCTGCTTTTAAATGAACTGAGCCTACATATAATTAAAATATGAATTTATGTACCAATACTCTTCATTTCTTCATTTCTTGACATTATAATGATAAACTATGCTTTATTTTCGGGCTTTTCTCTTGTTCTGTGTCTACCATTGCAGATCCATTCATCTCCACAATATCCAGGTTTTCATTTATAGTTGTACGATCCTTTGATATTGGTACAAACGGCATAAACATTGTTCAAGTATAAGTTTTTTAGGCACACTTGTCCTTGTCTGAAATACAACAGGAGTCTCTTGTAATTAAAATTTATGAACAAAATAAAGAGACTCTTGAGGCCCCTATGCCAATGATAAATTCCCTTTCGCTAATTAAAACTACTATAGATCCTTTTTTCAGAAAGCTGAGGCTGATGTCGAAATACACAATACCGACAGGCGAATTTTCTTAACGTATTTATCTCGCTTGAAGTGGATTTGCTCTTCTTGGAAACTTTCAACTTAAACTTTGCATACCATTTTCCGTTTATTCTTCACTCTATCGGTGGTAGAATGAAGAATAAACATTTCAAGAAAGGATACATATCGCTATCGTTGTCATCTTCATCGTCATCGCTATCTTTATTATCATATGATCACTATCATTTTCTCCTTTTCAAACAAAAGAACTTTTTCTTTTGAGTTGAACGTCACAAATGTAAGAATGATGAAGTGGAGTTTCATATGGATCAATAGATGGCGCCTGAAAGGTTTTTTCATCGTTATCGGTTATTTTTATTCTTAATTTTTTTGAAAATATAACTATTTACTCAATAAAATTTGAATGTCAAAATTTTACAAACGTCTTGCTTTTGATATTTCCATGCTAGATATTCTGTATCAAGTAGCAGCGGGGAAACAAAAAAATCGGAAGCGATTTCGATTTACCGATCGCGCGCGAGGTTGAAAGCATAATGGATGCATGGAAGGGAATCAAGAGAAAAATCAATTTGGTTCAAGTCAGCCTGGGTATAAATAAACAAAAACGTAAGAATGAGCGATATAACACAACATAACATAATTTATTTAACTACAGGGTGTGAACATTTTACGATTTATGCGTTCTACAGAAACAGCTCATTTTCCCTTGTAAATAAATAAAATATCAACTAGAAACATAAAGCAGTTATGCATTGATAATAAAATTCATTACTTTGTACAAGAAATACAAATAATCACTTATAACAATGGTAATAAGTGATCGGTAAACGCAACTGTGCCTTTGTGAAAAAATTCACCATTCGTTACCGGTTACATTTGTTCTCTAGATGTATTAAGCAATTAAGAAGCTGGTGTTGCTCTCAGCTTCCCATCAAGTCAAACACATTTTCGAGAAGTTGATTGAAAATTAAAAATAAATGAATGATTATTTGGAAAACTTACTAGGACATGAATTCCACACCAGAGAGCTTAATAGAAGGATAGTTTGATTTTCAGCAACACTTCAATTTCATTAAGTCGGCCTTCACAATATTTTTCACTTCTCTGATCTTCCAAACGTATAAAATGGGATTCAGGGATGAATTCAGATAAAAAACTGAAAATGAGACACGAAAAAGGATCGCCCCAGGAATACCTGAAGGAATTATCTTGTTTATCCAAAGGATAGCTACGACAATGCAGGGGATAAATAAGAGAATTAATGTAAACTGAATCCATGCTATGCTAGAAACAGTCTTCTTAAATCTAGCCTCATTTAACTGAGCTGTTCGGTTGCTTTGCTGCTGAGCTCGTTTAAAGTGTCCATGTACCTGCCGTCGATGTCGATAGAGGAGGGAATAGATCTTGATGTAGGAAGCGATGGATGTTATGAAACACAGCCCCACAACAACAAGGAATACAAGCTTAGCAAGATCCGCAGCAACTGTAGTGCACCTCCATCCGCCCAACATACAGCTCAGTAACCAAATGCAAATCACAATTACTCGAACCCGCCTTAATGTAACAACGTTTCTGTATACCAGCCCCAACACCAGCGCGAGTAGTCTGTCCACGCTTATTGCTGTCGATGTTAAAATGGATAGTGTAGTCAAAATAAAACCTAAAACACTGTTCACTTGTTCGCTGAAGTATGAAAGGTTAGTGCTGATGATCACCGACGTTATTATCGCATGCACAACGAGAAGTGGCTGCAAAATTAGACCTGTGAGAAGATCCGTAACTGCCAGAGAAACAAACAAAATTTTTGTGGGAGGTGAAATTGAAGTCACCTTGTAGAGAGCAACGAGGATTAAAACATTACCGATGCATGCTGTAATAGAAGAAAAAGCATTTAGAGCTATACTGATGGCTGCTAATTTTAGTGGCCTTGGTGATGGAAATATTTCTGAGAACAGTGCGTTCCTATCATCTTCGCTACTCAAGTTCGACATGACAAGCTACGTCGGTTAGAGGTCTGCGAGGAAAAATGTCCCTTTACAAACGTAACGCCTACGATGACTCTGACCAGAGCTTGATACACTTTTATACTTATTTCTTCAATAATATATGCAGAGCACGATCAAGGATTTCTATTTCCTGTGTTAATCATGTCAGACACTGTAGAAACTTTCAAAGAGAGAGGATCTTTTTAGACTTCAAACATGACTTAAATGAAGCGGATGGATCAATGTAGGATGCGGCAGAAAAAAAAAATAGAAAAACCGCAGCTGGTCGTCATTTGGTTTGGCAGGAAAACCATTACCATTGTGATGCCAGTTGTCTACGATTGATTGATTTCGTTTGCTAATTTAATATCAAGAAGAAATGAGCACTTGAAGGCTGAGAAATCCCAGCTGTATGTGCTTGCCATTTCATCAATTTCGAAATACTAATATGGAAGCGATCTTTGCAGTAATGAACACTACTTAAGCAGTGGTGGAAATGAGGCCTGAATTTTTTTTTATTTTTAATAGGCCTGACAGTATTCAGGCCTTATTTTAACTACTGTAAAATAGTGTTCATCACTGCGAAGATCGCTTCCTTATTCATTTCCTTGTCTGCAGTTCACATATATGATTTTCATATATTTACAGTCATTTAATTTCGAAATACTATATTTTAAACGATAATAAATTGTTACTCTTTACAATATTTAAGTTGGTCTTTCGGCTTCTACTGATTGAGCAAACATGACGATAAAGAGTACCGCGGCAGTGACGGTGGAGCGTGAACTATATTTTGCCAATGCTTAGAATTTGTTTTACTTAGGCGTAAGACGAACTTAGAAGCTTTGAATCATCAAATTTTGAAACAGTTTCTTTTTATTATTAATAAAAAGCTTGAAAGCTATTAGCGAAGCGTCCATGGCTGATATTGCTTGAAATTAATTAAGTTCCCGCAAAGGACAAAATAATGAGGTTCACATTCAAATTCACGAGTCATATACCAGATTTGATTGCCAGATCCAACCAAGAGCCCGAGTATTTAATGCCGTCCGACAAGGAACACGCTACAGTTAATAACTGGTCGCGACAACTATACAAATCACCACTCATGTTAATATATTCTTGTGCCGCCGCCTAACACAACAACCGAAACCCAGTGGGTAAAATTAGTTAACTGGAGGAAAATATTTCAATAACTGTCACTGCCACTTACAGTTTAGTTCTGCTTAGAATAATTAAACTTTCTTGTTCCACTCAATTAACGTCCTGATGCCAGGCAAGTTCATTATCCATCCATTTTGTATTCTTGCGAAAATTTATGGTAATAAGTTTAAGTCAAACCTTGTTTTTTTTTGTTTTGTTTTTTTTTGTTTTTTCATTTGTTGTTGTTTTTTTTAGCTTGTAGAATTTCCCACCTGAAAAGCGAGACAGAAATGATCCTAGAATTCAAATGAGCTCCCTTAGCACACGAATGAATAAAAGTTGAACCATCTTTCAGATCATCTTAGTTATTATTGTCCAATTCAAAGTTTTGTTAAGGTGGAAGCGCATAACTTTTATTTCCATATTAACTTGGTCACTTGCTTTATGAGCAAATTTTTTGAGCTTTGAAACCTCATGTCGACTAAATTTTGCATTAATCCAATTTTGACGGAAATTTGGCAAGATAATTTAATACATAAACAAAGATACCTTTCTTAAGAGTTACAGAAGACTCCTTTAATTCGAAGTGGTTCGAGTTATCGAGAGTTTCCAACTGCATTTGATAATGAAAATACGGTTCAGACCATTTTTTCTCTGTTTAGAAAATGCAAAACTTGATAAAATTGTATCGCAGGTCAGAGAATGGACTAAGGAAAATTAAACATTTTGAGAAAGGATAGGACTTCAAACCCTTAACCTAAATACGGTCGAATCTGTATAGGCGGCAGCATATCAAGTGGTCACCCTGTATTTGTTATTTGGGCAATGTAGTATTATTAACTGAGTTGAAAACATAAATTGACCACCTTAAAGAGTTTCCAAGCTGACGTTTAGAGCGTTAGCCCTTCGTCAGAGTGAATAGAGAAATTGTGAGTTGTTTTTAAATGCACAAAATGGAGCTAAGCTATTGATGGGAATATGGTGACGAGACAACAAGAATGAATTAGTTGAACGAAAAGCGCTCGTTGATACTGTGAGGATTAACTGAAAATGCCGATTTGAAAGACAACTCTTTTTTCTAGTGTTTTGTGGCTGTCCGAACCGCCCAGATGAAGAGAAACGCGACAAACTTCCATATGCTTCTTGGAATGACTGCGGAGATTAAAGTGTCCAGCGACTGCGCTTCGGATGAGTCTTGATTGTAATTTTTTCCAATTATCTTGTCTTTTCCAATTTACGTTATCAACTCAGTTAATTTATAATACTAAATTACCCTGTTATAGTCCCCCATCGACGTAGCACCACAGTTTCTTTAGAAACTTACCCCTTTTCACTTTTAAGTCATTTGACGGTTAACCTGCAATTAGTGGTTACCCCACCATTTCCCTTGGGCGACCGTTTAATACAGAAGCGATTGTATGAAAAAATCGATGGCTGCTTCAAAATTTTTTTCGTCTTTTATCATTATCATCATATTATTTCTATTTTTTCTAACTACACAACTATTAATTCTGACTTGAAAGTCAAAGATTTGCAATCACTTTGGTTTTTAGGTTTCCATGCAGAAATTGTGTCAGTAGATAGCTTTTGGGAAAAAAAATGTAGCTATTTCGAGTTACCAAGAGCAGAGTAGGTGAACGAAGGCAAATAAAGGGAAATTTATTTGCTTCGAATCGACGTGGGCATCAGTAAAAGAGAACCCAGCCAGAATAACAGATATAACATAACGCTGCGATCTTCTATATGAAAACGGGTTGTGAACTTTTTACAGTTTGTGCGTTCCAAAGAAACAGCTGATTTTATCATGTAAATAAGTAAAATATCAACCACAATTGACAGAAATTAACCGCAAGACATAGTGCAGTCGGCCTGTGTTCATAGAAGAGAGATTTATTTACCAAGAAGACCGGTTTAGCTTTTGGATAAAAAAAAATCGCACCTTGTCTTTTATATGCTGCACACTCAACGAAAAACGACAAAATCACAACGACCGCTCCGAGAAAAATTTGGAAAAAAGGTGTCGATGGCTAGCTGTATGCTGTCATAGACTTTAGAATCCACTGTTAAACTAAGATTTTTGTAGTGAAACACAGGCGGCCCCAAGCTCCAGCTGTGAGATGATCATCTTACGCAATAACGGTCATGGCGGAATTATAAGAGTTTGTATGGGCATATTTACGACCGCCCTCAGGAATAAAAAAAAATACGTCAAATTCTCAAAAAAAATACCTCACCTCGCTTCCACAGCGTATTGCTTGTTATCTGACCGCTTACTTTGATGAAAAGAGCCCATTTGAGCGAGTTGTTCATTTCGAGGTTTTCAACGTACATAATACACATGTGCTATATGTACATACTAGGACAATTCCCTTGCTCAGTCATCTTGTATCTCAACATGGTTGCCAGAATTCTGCGTTTTTCTGCAGGAAGAATCCTCGTGTTATTTAGAAATGTTGGTTATGGAAAATGAGCGCATCGTCCGAAAACAACCGTGCGCCAGAAACAAGGTCAGCACTCACCCTTGGAAAAATTATGTTAATGGCTGTATACGTTTAACAAAGACTGTTAGAATCCGCTATAAAACTATGATATATATATACATATATATTTTTTTTTTGGATGAGAGGCTTACTTTCAAGCAAGACCTGTCTTGTTTACCGAAAGAGACGATTAAAACTCGCATCTTCGGCATTGTGAGTAAAAATATCACACCTTCATCTCGCCGCGTCATGATTGAAAACGCTTTTTTTTAAAAATAGAAGTAATTCTCGTGTTAGGTAGAAATGTTGGTTTTAAAAAATGAGCGCCTGTATGTTTTCGTGTATCTCCATCCGCCCAAAGTACAACTCAACAACCAAAACAAAACACAGCTGCTCGAACTCGCCTTAATGTGACAACATTTCTATATGCCAGGCGCAAAGCAAGAGTGGTTAGTCTGTCTACGCTTATTGCAGTCGATGTAAAGATGGTTGTTGTGCTGAAAATAACACCTGAACCACCGCGCACTTATTGGTTGTAGTATAAAAGGTTGCTGTTGATGGACACCAACTTTGGTATCATATGCACAGCAAAAGAAGTTGCGTAATGAGACCTGTGAGAAGATCGGTAGACACCAGACATCGAAACAAAAGTTTCGTGTGAGGCGAAATCGAAGTCACCTTGTAAAGAGAAATAAAGATGAAGACAGTAATGGAAAGAAAAACGTTCAGAGATATGATGAAGGTTGTTACATTAGTCGATTGTAATGGAGATTTGTTTTCGTCCGTTGCGTTTTTGTTTCATCTTCAATACTCAATTTCGACATGAGAAGTGAAATCGGTTTCAAGATTGCGTGGAAAAAATCTTTGTAAAATATCACGAATACTTAATTTGTGGTCAATATTTACATGAAAATTAGTACTCTTACTCTTCCTTTTTTTCTTTTTCTTTAATTGAATATACTGGCAGAGCACCATCAAATATCGAATGCTATTTTTCATGTTTTTTGTATCTGTAGAAACTGTACGCATAGGAACAATTTTAACGTTTAAAGAGAAATGACTCTTAGAGTTTAAAATGTGGCGTAAATGAGTTGGATCGATGTTTTAAAGTATTTATGAGGTTTGAGGCACAAAATTAACAGAAAAACCACAGTATTTTGTCTTTTGCCGTAGTAGGACACTGTTTAAAAACCCTTTGTGGCAACGATGCAAGTGAACCCGTTTGCATAGTGGATAAGAAAGGGGCATACAAAGACATAGGAATCCCAGCTGTGTCTTCTTAAATATAACAGTTTTATTCATTTGGCAATAGTACATTGCAAATGAAAATAAAGTTTGACCTTGTATGTTTGTTAAAGTCGTTTTATGGCTCATACCGATATAACAAACATGATAATAAAACGTTTCCCCACAGCCTTAAAGAGATTAGCCTTCTCTGTTAATTGCATTTGAAATATTTATGAGGTTCGAGGTTCAAAAATAAAATTTAGTTTGACTGGCGACAATTTGCTCTTGCTACCATTATGTTTTCGTGCATGCAAGTTTTGACCTCCACTGACAATTGAAAATTATAAATTAGCAAAAACGTTAGACACAAACTGAAATAGATGCGGCTTTACCCATTGATTTAATTATAAAACGGGGAAGTGAGAGTGTTAATTAGGACACGGAATATGACAGGGAATCTTGAATATTTGCAGACATATAATGCCTTCTTCCAAGGGCTCGCAATTCACGGTCATCATACAAAATCTCAATTAAATAGTTGATGCATGAAAGCCTATCTGAAACTGAAGGAATTCGATAGATGTGCAAACTGCTCAGACAAAGCCATCCATTGGCTGAAAAAGAGGACTGAACCAAGAATATGCCTAAAAAAGCTTAGATTCCTTTTATGGAAAGTGGACCGCTCACGTCATACAGATTCGCCAAAAGTTACGGCCACCTTTGGCTTTAAAGAAGGCTAAGATCCTCAGCGCTTGGACAAGGCCATCCTTATGAAGCCCTTAATTTCACTTCGCATTTCCTCTTGTTAAAGTACTATCGTTCGATAGTGGAAGGAAACCAGAAAAAATATAATCACAGTGGAGCTTTTGTATTCGTAATTGGTCAGTGATCTTTTCAAGGAAACACAAAATTGGCTGTAACCTCGGTTTGTACACATCATTCGACTGTTCTCCTCATTACCTCGGCGTTTTCGTCTTGCCATAACCTCTGCAATGAACAATACCTCCGCTTCTACCATCGGCTCAAGACAAGATCTTGATTCATCAAAGAACTCTCCCTCCAGAATGGAAGGAGTCACATTGTGTAGTGCTTTTATGCTGACATTTGTCTTAGTTGTTGCGGGGAACTTAATCACTGTTATTCTTTTTGCAAAAAACAAAAACATTCGTAAGAAAAATTTATTTTTACCCATCAATATGGCGTTTGCTGACCTGTTTTTAGGAGCTGTTGGTTTACCTATATACATTTATGATGTTGGCTTCTATTTCCAGCTGTGGACCAGCCGGATTGGGAACTTGAGCAGTAACAATCGTCTCTATATTTTCTTCCTGGCCTTTGATACATTCTTCTCACAGGCTTCAATCATTTCTGCAGCCTTCATATCCTGTGAGAGATTTTACGCCATGTATTGGCCGTTTAAGCATCGAACATTATCAACTCGAACATACCGTATCCTTATTATTATCGTGTGGATAATTACCCTATTTATATCGGCGATCTGGACTGGATCACACCTCCTTCTTTCTACAAAGCACACCATGTTTGTTTGGGGGCTATATACTTTGATTCTCGTGCTAATAATGTGTGGCTGTTACATGGGTATTTGGCGAAAGTTTCAGAGTGGGAGTGTCGCCACTTCACACCAGCAAAACAGAGACTTGCAAAACAAGCGCTTGACAAAGACCTTGTTATTTGTATCTGGCCTTTCTTTGCTGGCTTGGTTGCCTTTAATAATATCAAACTTATTGATATTTGTCTGTCTTTTACCAGTACAATTCAAATTTTATTTCATGGTAAACCTTATAAATTACTTCAACTCTTTTGTCAATCCGGTTGTTTATGCATTACGAATTGTCGAGTTTCGACAAGCTCTAACTACACGTTGTTTTCTCGCAAGAGAGCCAGCGATGAACACGTCACTTGCTGAGGTTAGAAGTGAGACGAGAGGAAAAACTGATTTCATCTATGAACTGGTGTTTGAACAAGTTGTAATGGATATCAAACTGTAAATGACGTCCGTACAATTTTACTCCTTTTTTTTTTTGTACTTTTTTTTTTCCTTTGAGCTGTGTGTGCTCAGGACACAAAATGAGAGCAAATAGTAACCTGATGCCAGGAAGTTAGGGTGAAAACCTAGTAGCGGTTTACTACATTTTTTGTCATTCTTCAGATAAAATTTTCGTGAATAATTTAATAACTAATGACAACCTTAATTCGGCATGTTTCACCACGGTTTTAGTTTTAAGGCTTTGAAATAAAGTACTCTTGTATGAATTTACAGTTTTATGCTTATAATTATCTCGACCAATGTTTGACTTGCCGACGAAAAAAATCAACTGTTGAGTTTTATTTGTAACTCAGTGTAAATACACCTGTGTAAAGAATATTGAAAACCATTTTGTGATAGTTACTTCTAGTGGTTATTCGATACATGTTTAACTGTATGTGTTTTTAATTTATCATCGCATTAGCATACTTTATTGTAACAATGTACAACTAGTAAAGGTTTAGTCTTCATGTTAATGTAATGGAGAGTTCATAAGTGCACGGAATATCAGAGGACATGTTTCTTGAGTTCGTGTGATGTAAGAAAAACATACGAACAAAATTAAAGGCAATTAACAACAGTCGGAGAACTGTACGTGTGCCTTTAAGCACAAAGTCCTCCACTGGATGTATTAAGCACTCACGAAGCTGAAGTTGGTCTCGGCTTCAACTCGAGAAACTCTTTTGCTTCTCTCGTGCTCTGCAATCTTCCTGCTTACATCCATACCTCGATATAGGCAGAGATAAATGCTTCAACCAATCGTTAACAAATCAGTGGCTTCCCAAAAAATACATTTTTTCATAAAGATTACCTAGCTTCGATTGGTATCTATGAACCTACTTTAGTAGACATCAACTGGAGGGAACCCATAGCCAGAAAACTATTTTTGCCCCTGATAAGCCGCTGGTAACTTTTCTCGAGAAAAAATTGACTTCTTAAATTCTTTAGACGAGCACAGTTTCGCGACCACTGTATTGAGTTTTACAGATGAGACGCAGTTCTATCATCTGAGATATCTGGCACATTTTTGCAACGGAATAAATAAGATAAATTGAAATAGATGAATAGATATTTTGGAAACGTGCTCGGACAGGAATTCTCTACAAAAATGCTAAAGGAAAAGATTTAGGTTGATTTTAAAAACTACATCAATACCCTGATTTCAGTTTTCAAAATTTGTTTCATTTCTTGGATCTTCAAGACCGTGACAGTATGGGTTTCAGAGACGAATTCGAACATAGGACTGAAAGTGCGACATGAAAAAGGACCACAGCAACCTTTGGGAGCATTTTCTTCCAAGTGCAAAGCATATTCGCTGCAATATAAGACATACAGCAGGTAACTTATATAAACTGAACCCATGCTACGCATGTACGTGCCGGTGATGACGGTGAAGAAGGAGATAAATTTTTGATGTAGCAGGCTGGATGGAGGTTGACAGGCATAGCATAAAAAAAAAAAAAAAAAATGGGACATTTCTGTATACCAGGCCCAGAGCAAGAGTAATTTGTCTGTTTATGCTTATTGCAGTCGATGTAAAGATGGATGTTGTGCAGAAAATAACATATGAACCACCACCCGATTGTTAGCTGTAGTTTGAAAGGTTATTACTGATGGACGCTAACTTTGGTATCATATGCACAGCAAAAAAGCAAAAATTGGCTCGTAATGAGGCCTGTGAGAAGGGCAATAAGGATGAAGACATTGCCAAGAAATGCGGTAATGGGGAGAAAAGTCTTCAGAGATATGATGAAGGCTGTTACATAGGTCGATTGTAAAGGAAATCTTTTTGTGGCCTTTGGGTTCATTTCATCTTCAATACTTTAGTTCGACATAAGAAGCGACGTCGATTTAAAGATGCGTGGAAAAGATCTCTCTAAAATGTCACAAATGCATAGATTATGGTCAATATTTACATTAGACGCTTTAAAGCTAAGTACTTATGCTGACTGATGAGGCCTTGTAACAAAATCAGCGCTTAATTAACTTCATTCTTATTTTCTCCTTCGATTGAATGTACAGATAGTGCACTATCAAAGATCGAATGCTATTTTTTGTGTTCTTTGTGTCTGCAGAAACTTTTCGCATGGTATAAAAATTTTAACATTTAAGGAGAAATGATTTTAGAGTTTTAAATGTGGCCCAACTGAGTTGGATCGATGTGTTAAAATATTTATGAGGTTCGAGGCACAAAATTAACAGAAAGACCACAGTTGTTTTTGTTAGGCCGTGGTAGGAAATCATATAATTACCCTTTCAGGCAGCGATGCAAATGAATCCGTGGAGAACAAAGTGGCATACTTAGACATAGGAATCACAGCTGTGTCTGCTTAAATGTATCAGTTTCATCAATTTAGAAATATTACATTGCATATGAAAATAAAGTCTGACCCTGAATGTTTTTTGTAATCGTTTTATGACTTATACCGATTTAACAAAAATTATTATAACTGAAAATTAATTATTAATTGAAAATTTATTACTGCAATAAGCCCTAAGGTCTGAATTAATGTTCTGCTGATATTTTGAATTTTTCTACCAAGTATTTAAGTGCACTAAGAGGCTAGCCGTTTTTTGTTCTTGCAAAAACTTTCTGATTCAGATGTTCAAAATTTTTTTTAATTTTCAAATTCAAATTACCGTCGAAATGAAAACACAACCCTCAAGTTATGAATTATGCCTGAAGTTTACTTAGCTAGTTAAAGGTTATTCATTCAGCCAACCAATCATTGCATGGTTGTATCAAAATAAAAAAAGAAAACTGTTTATTGCTGAAAATCATGAACTCAGACCAACCCATGAAACAGGAGCAGTATAATATTTCGAATCTCAGATCTCAATCAACATAAGTTTAAAGATTAGTTTTTTCAATCATGTTCTAACGTATTTTTGCAGAACTAACATGAGTTAATGATCATTCTTCACACGCGATGCAGGTTCATGAAAATACAGGGCAGGTTTTTGCAAAGGGCTTTGCTTCAGGGTACCTAATTGCGCAAGTTATAATTTGAAAACATCAAATGCAATTGGTGGAAACAGATGCGAATTGAATAATTCAACCCTCGATGGGCACACAGAGGACCTGGAGGAATGTCTGTCTGCCATGGAACTCGAGTAAGAGGAACCATTGACCTTTCCAAACAGAAATTGATATTTCATTAAATTGACATTGAGGAAAATATGTCAACACGCGAGAAAAATAGAGTCCGCTTAGTACGTCCGACGTAATTTAGAGGTTTAAGAACAAGTGCTAATTAAACAGGAAACAAGAAAGACTACAAAAACAGACAAAAATAGCAGAGCAAAATTATTATCAAAGCTTCAATGGCCTTAATTCCTTGTTTCGTAGAAAAAGACAGGACAAGTAGTGTTTCAAATATGAATCATTGTAAAATTTATAATGAATTAAAAAACAAGATTGAACGCAATAAAGTTTTTAAGGATTCGAAGAGAGACTTTTTTTCAAGTAGTAGCAAACTATGTAAGTGAAGTGAAAAAAATGGTTAGCAGTAAGCATTTAGTGAGAAAAGAAACAAAGAAAAGAAAAGAAAGCTAACACATTGGAATCATTTCTCTATCGCTGAGGGAAACCAAAACCAAATATGTGACGTTGATGATCATGAGAGTGATTTAATTCCAAAAACAATAACTATACGACATGAAAATATTGCATTTTGAATAAAAACCGTTTTGGGAGGCAACGTCCTGAAAAATTTCAAAGTACCGACAAAAAGAGGGGGAAAAAAGTAATTGAGTTATGAATTTTGCCCAAAGGCTGTTACAGAAGCTAATTAAATCTGATGCAGTCACCCAAACGGTTATGGCTTTATACCCAGCTGAGCCTCAACCTCAGCCAAATGTAGATTTATTTTGCACGCATATAATTCATACGAGACTTTTTGTAATAAATAGCCAAATGCTGCGAACAGTAAATTGCCAACAAGGTCTAGATTAGCTATGCCGCTGGAAAAATAAAGGACAGGCCGATGTGAGTTGATAAGCAATTGATAAATTTGAGTTTTAGACCGTAATGTTTTTGTTTGAAAAAAATTACCTTAGTTAATTAAGTTACTGAATTCACACCGAGACGATTTGGTTCATAGGGAATTATTTGCCTCGACAGGTAACAAAGGCAGAATCCATTTATTGACGCCGACTATTAACGACGAAGTAAGGAAACATATTTCAAAAAATTGTTCACCAAACGTATCGGAAAAGTGTACAATTTGAAATGTTAAGCATAGCAACCGCAAATCTTGTCTCAAAGCATTATCAGTCGGCTAACGTGGCTAATTTTATCGTGCGTTACATTTCTCTTTTCCTCTGTGTGATACAGCACGTAATCGTTTGTTCTTCAGGTAAGAGTGTTTCTGATAAAGTAATTTCGATTTGTGTTATTCGCTCTCCCAAATGTTAGACACTATTCCTTACATTTTCCACTAGGCAATATGCAAAAGTGCGAATTTATTGTAAAGAATAGTTCAGTTACTCATTCAGATCTACCAGCCACTGTTAAACGCACCCACCAGCTGCAAAATTAACGATAACTTGAAATATAAGACAGGAAAGCCAAAGTCCAGCTAGGTAATGAATGAAAAATCTTGGATTACATAGAATGTAGAGGTTAATGCTCATGAACAATTTGTTTATAGTATTTCTCTGATTCGTACGCACATACTGCACGGACCATGTACTATCTTCCAGTGAGAGTAAGGTTTTTTCTTATTTTAATACTCGGACACATGATAGCTGATAACACAACCCAGGATTTTGCGTTTTTTTTAATTATTCCCATCATCACCATTATCTCAATAATGGTTATTATCAAAGCCATAGCAAAATTCTCGAAAGCGATTGGTTAGCACCAGCCCGATTTGGGTACTAATCAAAACAACATTCTTGAACGTGATTGGTTATCACCAGCCTGACTTGAGCACCAATATAATAGGAAAGTGTACGCGCATGCCTGTGTAAGTGGACAGAACGCATCATGTGCGCGCGCTGTTGTCTCGCATTTCGCCGAGTTAACTGTTTTTCAATTAATTAATAACAGGACTTCGTGTCGTCCAATTCGATCCGTAATCACACTCGTAATTAACAAATCGCACTCCTGCTTCGCGATCGTCCAATTTTCTTAATCACTCGTATGTTTGCATACCGAGCTGGACTGCACTAGGTCTCATTACTATTATTAATAGGACAGTGAACGCGTCATGCTTGTAATCGGACAGTGTAATAACACATCATGCCTGTATAAATGGACTGTAGGCGTCATGTGCACGCGCTGTTGTCCTTTTTTCTTGATACGTTGCGTATAGCAGATGTCTGGTTTCTTTCTTGAATTTTTTTGAAGTTTTGACTTATTCGTAACAGGACTTCGTGTCGTCCAATTCTGCAAGTTATCATACTCGTGATTAAAAAATCGGACTCCCGCTTCGCCGTCGTCCGATTTTGTCTATCACTCGCATGTTTACAGACTGAACTGGACTCCACTCAGTCCTATTACCATTATTAGTCATTACTCTTTTTACTATAACTATTAATATCTTGCTATAATTATTACTATCATCATGATTGTAATCATCATTATCATTATTATGTCAATATTTTAAGTTCAGAGAGTTTTGACGTACCACAGGAAAACTGTTTTAATTTACATTCATAACTGTATTAGAGATCCTTAAAATGTGGGTGAGGGCTAGTTCACATATTTTTATCATATAAAGTGAACGGTGACGCACAGTTACTGGGCGTAAAAGTTTCTTCTTTCGTGGGAAATAAAATACCAAAACATCAATAGATAAATAAAGAACCTCAAACGTTTAATGATTTTTGGCGGAGGGTGAAGAAATATGCTTTCACTGGTAATAACTGTTTTTCTTGAGGAGAATGTCGTCAGTTGGAGTTCAAGGCGGAGCTAGCTTTACCAGGAAAACGTCTTACGAATCACGTGATCGGAGTACACGTCGACAAGACAATAGACCATTGTGAAGTACTTTGCTATTTGGAACCCAATTGTGTGAGTTATAATTTTAAGATATGGAATGAAAATGAGGGAAGCAGTTGCGAACTGAATAATTCAACTCATGAAGGACAGAAAGAGGACCTTGTTGAAAATGCTAGTTATGTCTACCATGGAGCACGGGTAAGCGAAGTTGTTTGATTTTCCAACCAGAAATGGCTTTATTAGTAGAGTAACTATTTCAAAAAAAGAAAAAAAAACTATTCAATTCAGGGAACTCTGACTCGTCATACGTGCACAAATGATACTTTAGAAAATGATATAAGAATAAATCATTCAAAATGCCAGGCGATAATTATAATTTCGAAAAATCAATTTCGCTGCGAAAAACCCATCATTCCAGACAGCGACACGCCAGAGATGTTTGGAGCTACTGTTAACGATATCTTAAAATTCGATAAAGAAGTTTATAACACAGGAAATTTCCTCAATAGGCCACAGTTTTAGAGTGTGTGTGAAATACGCTTTCGTATGATTAAAGAAATAAATGTCATTTATTGTTCCACAGTTAAAACGCTTAAGGGTAGGGATCGGCTGAGAAATTGGAAAGAGTAAACGGAGTGTTATTTGGCGATTTTTCATATGAAGAACTTCTTAGTGATTTAGGTAGCATATCGGTAGGTTTGAACTTGGGCCCTGGCGTTACCAAGGGTTCAGGTTTTAAGTAAGCGTCATCTGATTTTTTTAAGACCTTCATAAATGCTTTAAAAAATTGAATCAGTCCTTCAGACTGTTTAGTATCTCTGAATTGCCCTTTTCTTTCAACGTTTTTATTTACAGATGACTCTATTTGTAATTGTAAATAGGTTTATTTCTATCGTAAATAGTTTTAATAGTATTGTAAATAGTTTTATTTCTATTGTTTCCACATTAATATTTATAGCTTAATCAATATTTTATTTGTTTTTTTGCTGTTTTTTTCTTCAAATTTCATAGTCTGATTTTCTCCACCTCGCTAAATTATAGACCATTACTTGCTTGATTTTTTTATTTTTTCAATCTAGAGCACATGTACAAGTAACCCTTGCAAGAACAACGCAACCTGTCAAACCGGTTTTACAGAAAGAGGTTACCGATGTTTGTGCGTCATTGGTTTTACTGGTCATGAGTGTGGAGTCGGTAAGTACTACCTAAAAAAAATTCATGTTAGCGAGAATGAACGTACTTAACCAATGCTTTTTAAAGGCAGTTTGGTTTTTTAAGCCAAACAAACTAAATTTATTGGCCTTAATTCTCCCCGCCAACAACACAACGATAACACTGTCTGTTTTTTGCCATGAGAGAAGTTCATTTCCTAGAATGATAAAAGTGGATTGAACAGTGACAAAAAGGGAAGCGAATCATGGGAATCATGAATACACAAAGGTATGTCACGTGGTGTGTGACAATTAATCCCTTTGCGCAATAGCGCCCAATGAGGAAAAATTGTAATTTTCAAACATAAATAAATAGGTGAAAAGATAGACAATCGCAAGGAAAGAACCTTTAGAGGAAAAAGTAAGACAACTTTGATGTGTTTTCCAGATGTAGACGAGTGTGCTATAGGAACAGACAAATGTAGTGTCAATGCTTTGTGCAGTAATAGTGAGGGGTCCTACAGTTGCACCTGTAAGCTTGGATATTTTGGGGATGGTACCGATTGTGATGGTAAGTAGATTTTGCGACTGAATTGTGTTGTGCCAAAATCAACAGAAAGAAAACAAAAGAAAAAACTCCTTATTCAAGATGTGAAGGCGTACTTAAAAAACGAGCGAATTTCGAATGCAAATCTCATTCTTCTGTTTAAATCTCACCTTTAACTTAATTTTGCTTTTTTTTTTTGCTTTGTTTTGTTTTTTCTAGAAATGTCCTGCCAAGACCAGACGACCTCGTGAGTTGCACCGTTACTGTTATTTAGGACAGAATTTATTTTACATAGAAAATGAACGCACCATTAAAATAATGATAATAATACATTGAGATAAAGCTCAATTTAAGTATTCTGTTCAATTTAAAATCCTCAGAGTCAGTACAAGCCCTCACTGTAGTCTTGGAGCGTGCGGACAAGGTGCTTGGATGCTTGTGATGAAGGTTGACGGCAAAAAGGTAATCAAAAATAACGACGATGATTTCCTCACAGCTCCACAGTAATGCAAATGACTTGCTGTGAGTTTGCTTCTCAGTTACAATCAATCTTTCATTGGTTGGTCCAAGTGTGATTAGTGTCTGAGGAACAATAATCGAATTACTTTTAAAACAGAAGGCGCCTTTTTTAACGATTTTTTAGAATGTGTTGTGTCCAATATTTTGTCCAGCTTTACGGCACACATACATGCTCGCGGGTAAAACGAACGGCCACTACTTCAGAACTTTTGCTATGAAAAATTATTTCACCAGATTACTTTAAAAATAGATCTCGTGTGTATTATCATTTCGATTCATGTGCACACAGGAAACCTTCCGTTATGACTCTAAGTATTGGACCAATCAACTGGAATACAATCCTGTTGGAGGGCAGACTGGGTTCGACTCACAAGAAACCAAGCTAATGACCTACTGGAACACATCCTTCACAAAGATCTGCCTCGGTATGAAAGTCGACCAACAAATCCGTTTCATTGCCGTAGAACAGGAGGCAAGCTCCCTATTTTCACTGATCGCTGACGGGCAACACCGCGCCACTTCACTGGGTCGTAACACGTGGAAGTCTCTAATTGGTTCAGAGGCCTCCTTGCAGATGGAATGCAACATGGAGGGGTTCAATGTGGTCAGTTCGGATGGTTTTAGTTCCAAGGCAAGAATCGGCATCATAAGTAATGAACAAAATGACTGTAGTACGTGCGACTCGAGAATTGGATTTGGCATAGATGGATCTCATCTCAGTTTCAACAGATGTGGAAATGTAGCTCAGTATTCACCAGATAATGGCGAAAAAAACATAACAGTCATGGGATACATTTTTGTCCGTTAACACGTCCACTGTGGCATACAGCATGGGTCTCACACCATCAGAATGTTCTTTGGGTCACAAGCACTGACTTAGCTGTTGGTCTTCGAAGGAGAGGTCGATATCTATAAACCTATTTTAATCACTTCGCTGAATGAGACTCAAGCTTTACCGTTTATTTATTTATTATCGCTATTCTGTTCCCTTATGGAATTACCTGGATATATGGATGTTGAATAGAAGAATGAGAATTACGATAAAAAAAAAAAAAAAAAAAAAAAAAAAAAAAAACTTGATCATGACAGATAATCCGAGTTCATGTATCGTGCTTCTCCTTACAAAAGAAAACGAACCAAATAACACGAGTATGAAACGAGATGAGCTGAAACAAACCAGGATGTCAACGTAATCATACCGGGATAATACTGTGAGCCAACATTATGAACATATCTAAAACGCAAATTCGGCAGTCAATTTCAGCGAGTAATCAAAGCTAGGAAAGTAAAAGAGAGAGTTAAGAATTAGTTTCCGTTCAAATTACGCAAAACACGACTAGCAAGAAATGTTCACTAAAGATAAAAAGATAAACCAAATAGTGTGAACTTAAGATCTTTTAGAAAATATGAAAACAAACTTATTTACCCAACAGATAATCTTCCACTCCTTAGTGTTTTACTGACAGATGGTGAGGGAGATGATTGGACGTAATATTCCGGTCTCACATCAATTCATTTTGGTGCTTGAAAGATGTTACTGCATGCCATTCTTGTTAATTTTAGTATGATCCCGGCTAGTTTCAAAACTTTCCGGAGCATTATTTCCGCGTCAAGATTATTTAGCAATGCTCAAAATTTGGCTCCCAAGATCTGATTGTTTTTTCTCCCCTCCAGCTGTTACATATTTCTTGGTAGATAGTCAGGAGAATTTGGCGTTAGATCAAGATAACAAACTCTAAATGATAAGTTTGAGTATTCTCCTTACTTTTTTGCTGGATGAAAGAGAAGTTACGTGTTAAACATTTCTGGGAGTTAAAGGGTTTATAGATGGAATAAAAATAAATAAATACTAAGAGATCAGTGATTAGAAGCTGGGGAGGGGGGGGAAGGATTTTAGAGGGGATCAACAAATTATAAAGGGGGAACTATAGAAAAGTGAATTTTTATTAGCTAGCAATGAAAAGAGAGGAAGAGGATCATAAGATTATTTCACAATTTCACAGCCTTAGAGAGATCAGGTAAATTCTATTGTCGGTTACACATCCAACAACCCCAAGTCTCAATTAACCATTTGTCTTGATGAAAAATTGGCCAATTCTAGTTGTTTGATGGGAATATCGCATCATAACCATCCAACGTGCAATTTCCGCACACCGTTGACATTCCTATTAGTTTCGTTTGATATTAAGGTGTTACAGCGCAGGTAGACAGTGATCGTAAATATGTCGAAAGTTATGCCTGCGAGGAGGCCTATCTTTTCTGCGCTATTGCTAATAAAATATAAACCTGAAGTTTCATTTGCGTAAATTTCGTCTTGATTTACATTGTGGAATAAGGGAGGTCATCGGTTTGAACAATGGCCTCAAGAGAATTCCATTCATTGCAATCCATTAAAAATCTCCGTTATTGCTAAAATGGAGCACATCCTCCAACAGCGATACTCTTCAGGAAGTGAATGATATTCTTTGAAAAAAGAAATAAAAAGAAAAAAGACAGTGCTCGTCGAAAGCGTCCATAACTCAAAACATTTATGATACAACTGATGAACCACATGATGCTTTTGAAGTTCGTTTTTTGACATACTTAATACATCGTCAGCTGTGTAACGAGAAATAAAATGAAATTATGCAATAAATAGTGTAACAAACTGAGATGTTAACAAGAATAAATTAACAACAAAAAAGAGTCAAACTATTTAAGCTAAGAAGGGAGACTAATTAGTATGAAAGGGATAAATTAAGATGTTCGACCTGCGAATTTAAAGACGGCTGCTCCCAAAAGATGTGCATGGCTTCATGGCAATTTTCAATTGGAAGCTTGTGGAAGCAGAGTCCAGAATTTTAAAAAAGGAGCCACAATTTTCAGAGCCTCTCAGGTGCTTAAAAATGTGGGAATGTTTGTCACAGGAGAGATGTTCGGGGATGCGAGTGGCGACGTGTCTGTTGGTTTCACCGACATAACAGGCACTACAGCCTGCTCGTGAAAACTTATAAATAACTCGCGATCGTAAACCCGCAGGGATAGGATCCTTGACCCCAAACCAACTCTTAATGTTAAACTGGGTGTGCTAACTAATTTCTTAATTTTGGGTTGCGTTTCGACGGAAAAAGGACCGATATACGGTAATTTAAAACACAAACAATTTTTCCTTCGAGCAGCACTCTGAGAAGAATCGGAGGTGAATTTATTGTTAAGAAATTTTCTAACAAAATTCTCGATGATATATAAGGAAATTCGTTTTTCAGAACTTCTAACGGTTATAAGTAGATTTCAATTATCGGGCTATTATAAATACAGGTAAGGTTTGGTTTGGTTTCCCGAATCCCATCGATAAACAAGTTAATAACTGCCTCCAATGTCCTCAAAGTTTGTCTAGAATGCGGAAAACTTGCTAATTTTTTTGTACCAACCACACCCTCCGGCAAATACTCAAATACTCGAGTGTCCAAACAAATAATATCCAAAGTCCAAAAGGTAAATTTCACGAGGAAACAGATCAGTGTATATTCTCTTGTATGAGAAAGCTGATCAAAAGTGAACTAAATTTTGTAATTACAGTCATAATTCTTTTAACCCTTTTATTCCCGGGATCAGATTTTTGATTCTCACATTTCTCTGTAAATAAGTTATGAAAACTTGGTGCTGAATCAAGATAGAAGCTTCTAATTAATAATTATGGATATTCTCATTGTTTGCTGAAAAATTTATGGATATTATAGGGAAAAGTTTCATGTTAATTACTTCTGCGAGTTAAAGGGTTAAACAAAACCCTCAATGAGTTGGCGGGTACGTCGGGAGGTCAGCTATGTGCATAATGGTAGCTGCAGATAGTCTCTTTTTATTGGAAGAAAAATGTAACCTATGGCGTTTTTGTTTCTGACGCCATTATCTGAATCCCAGCTAAGTGCAACACCACCAGTGTTTCCAAAGACTTAACTTTTTCAATTCTCTAAATATAGTAATCCAAAATGTCGGCACACTTTCTCTGTTTAAGTCTAAATTGCGAACATTACTCTCATTCCCTTTTTTTTTTTCTTACTTTTCTCAAGCTAGTTGGGTATATGTTTCTTTGAGCGCCTGCTATTGCTGTGGTTGTTTTAAGTGTGTGTCCTTTTTAATTTCCTTTTCAACCGAAAATATTTTGTGCCTAAATCACGCCATATAACTAATATCTTACTTTTGCTAAATATGAGGATTCTGTAGCTCATATACGCCTCTTGGTTTTCCTACAGGTTTTCTCGCCACAAGTTAAATTTTCAGTTATATTATATCGCATTGCTGTTTGTGAATTCTTTTCATTGGTACTTATGTATTATAATTAAAAAATGAAAAATAAGCAAACAAACAAAATAAATAATGAAATAAAATAGATGCGATTCCTCTTCTACTTAACCTGATTCTAGAAGCCCTGGATATGTTAACTTCTTTTTTTTAGTCCTTTGCTACGTTAAGATAGTTAACAGACTTGTGAACAAGCAAACTATTTCCAAGTGATGCCTCTAAGTGGGATAATGTAACATTGCTCATGAGAAGTCAGTGAGTACAGTTGGCGCGTTGTTTTATGACATTGCAAGTAACGTTTTCGTAGATCTCCATGCCGCGAGAATTTTCACGAAAGATTTGACCTAACAGGTGGGTATCTTGGTCTCCAGCGCATCAGTTGAAAAATAAAATAGTGAGGGCGGTTGTTCTTTTTGTTACAGTTCTTTTACATTGGGAATATAATTAAAAGAGAAAAAAAAGTATACTAGCGATAATGATAGCGCCGACAACAACTACGAAGATTGTACGTAAGACACAAAAAATGACAATAGAAAGTTGTACTTGTGACAGGAAACTTTATATCGTTCCTTCCAAATACTACTGCACAAATATGTATCCCATTGCTTTGATTTTTTTGTTCCCGTTATCTGCTCGATAATAAGCTTCGTTTCCACACGTGTTGGAGTCATCGTGTTGTCCTCCTCCGCCAAATCCAAGCCTGGAGTCGCATCCGGCACAGTTGTTAAGTTCATTTGATATCACACCTATTCTTACATGAGCATATATGGACGTTCCTCTGTGTTCTGCAGCATTGAATCCTTCTTTGTTGCACAAATTTTGCAATGATGCTTCAGGACCAACCAGCGACTTCCAAGTATCTCGACCTAAGGAGGTAGCACGGTACTCCCCATCGGCAATCAGTGAGTAAAGTGATTCAGCTTGCTTGTTGATAAGAATGAACCTGCGCTGCTCGCCAATTTTCATACCGAGGCAGATTTTGTCAAAAGAGCTGTTCCAGTAGGTAGGAAGCTTGGTTTCCTGATCGTCAAATCCGGTCTTTCCAGCATGACGGTTGTAATCTATTTTGTTCTTCCAGTAGTTTGAATCGTAATGAAAAGTGGTCTGGGTCGAAATGGATGATATTTTATGTTGTTGCAAACAATTCAAGCAAGTATTCAAGAAAATTAGATTTTGATAAGCTGATTTGGGAAGGTCATTATTTATCACCTGTGTGGGCTGGGAGGAATTTTGTCGATTTATGATAAAATTAATCTGATTTCCCAATATGGCTATTTATTATATTGCTGGCAGAGCCAGTGGGCAATAGAAGTGAGTACCGTGTTCTGATTGGCTACCCGAGCGAGATTACCCGCTTTGGAGCGGACACATAAAGTTTATAATTTTTGGACAATCTCAAAAGGTGACAAAGAAAACTAAACGACTTCCTTGGGTTTACTACTTCCTCTCGGTCCATAAAAACGTAAAAAAAAAAAAAAAAAAAAAAAGCTCAGCCAATATCCAGCCATATTGACCTCGCATTATTTTTATGATCCCCCCTCCCCTCACACTGTCAGTTAATTAGATGTCAATTCTCTAAAGCCCCCCCCCCCCCTTCTCCCTTATACTCTGTAAGGGACGACTTATCCCTTTCCGTTTCCCCAGAAAACAGTGTGATCCCCTGTCCTGTCCCATCCCAGACGATAAATACCGAAAGATCGCAGATTGACCAGAGATG